GTGCTTCTATGATGTCATATATGATGTCATAGTCTGGCCCTGCCCTGCCCTGGGCCTAGGGTCCAGAATTGACCGGCCTATGGCCTAGTGCCTGAGCCTAGCTCCTACCTATGATGTCAGAATGATGTCATGGTCCAGAAGGAGTCTGGTTTCTATCTAGAAAAGGTCCGGCATCAGAGTCCAGCCTGATGTGTCCAGAACAAGATCATGTGTCGCTTATTTAAGCGGATAACCCCTTAGATATGTAGATGTACCCATATGCGGACGGATAAGTATGGATAAGTCCCTATACCCTTTGATATGTCCGCAGAAATAGCGGAAAAATTAGGTAAAATTAGGGAAACTGTGACAGTGGCCCCCTGAGTCCCAATCTGGACAGCGGCAAGCTGGGCGAAGATGGGAGTGGCCCAGGCTCGCACGTCACCATCGAGGAGGCTGAGGGCAACTTGGACCTTCAGCTCGATGGTGGAGAGGGTCGTATTGACTGCCCAGTAAATGAGCAACTGGGAGATGAAGTGGTTGCATTCGACAACCGTTTTTCCATCATATCGGAGAGGGAGGAGGAGCTTCAACGTCTCCTTATCAGGGGCGGCGGCGGGAGAAGACATTACTGGCGACGAGGGGGACAAAGGACTGCCTGCGGACGAAGGCAACTGTTGTGACTGTCCACCGGGCGAATTTCGCAAGGAACGAGTGCTTGGGCGGCCTCGCGGCGGTGACGGCGATGGAGATGGTTGAGAAAGTCCGGAGGCGGGGTGATGTAGGACAGGGACTGAAGTCGAGGCGGTGACCGCTGACGACGAGCTGGCCCAAAAATGTGGCGGAGTGTCACGGGGCTCGGTCTTGGGAGGCCCTTCCAACTGCGGCCCCAAAGAGGGCTGGGGGATCGCTTGAGAGGTCACTAGAGGCTGTGCGACTGCCTCAGTTCTTCGAGGGAGATCGGGGTCTCCTCATGCTTGACCTGTACTGGCGACAGGTTGGGGAATGCGGGTGCCTGGCGAGGCGGGTCGGGATGAGACAGGAGTAACGTGGCGGGAGACAGATCGGGACGCGTATTTGAGTCTGGCCCGAGGGGGTGCTGGACTCGTTGGATGGGGACAAAGTGTCCGTCTTCAACGGTGATGGATTGCAGGGTTCGGTTAGGGCACGGCTGTCAGTCGCAGTCGAAGAAGAGGGAGCCGGGGTCGTTGAAGTGTGCAACATCAACGTGATCTTCTGCGTCAAATGCGTGCTCAAGTCCCACGCAGTTGAAGGCTTCTTCAGCCACGATGGATGGAGGGAGGAAGGGGAGGTGCGTGTACTACAAAAGGCCGTTGTAGACTAGCTTACACCTACGGCACCCGAGGTTACACTAGGGTTTGCGATTCACATGGGGCCCAGTACTGCTTTTGGCTAGTATGCAGCAGGAACCTAGTCCACGCGTCCGGTTAAGGACAAGCACTGCCCACTGAAGTGCAGGTGCTGAAAAATTTGTTCCCTAAGTGTTGGCAATGTAACGTAGGCTATCTACGTATTGTATGATATCGTAAGGGTGCGCACCACCCAACCTATAGGAAGTAAGAAGTGAGTGTGGGTTTCAAGGAACGCCAGCAGCGTTGGGGAGTTTCGACCTATTGTCACAACTTGAGGTCAAGTAACAGGAATAAACCTAAACACTGGGGGTGTTCGACTGGGTCTCACTGAAGCAATGGTGAGCTTAAGCTCAAACCTAAGGCTAGGGACAAGTGTCGCGACTTGAGGTCAAGCGACTAGAGAAAACTGGAAGGCTGGGGGCGTCCGACTGATTCTCACCGAAGCGATGGTGAGCGAGGCTCAAACCTAAGGCTAGGGACAAGTGAATGTATTAGTTAGTAAGGTAAGAAAGGAATACAAATGAGGGCTTACTGACCTAGGGACAAGAGGTCGAAACTGAGGTCCCTAGGGCAGCAGAGGCCGGCTTATATACATGGGGAGATTAGGGCAGGCTGTGCGCGCTGGTCCGTGCGCAGCTGGTCCGTGCGCAGCTGGTCCGTGCGCAGCATGCTGACGCGGCCCCGGGGGCCGGTGAGTCAGAGGGGCTGTGTCAGCGGAGCCCGGGCTGTGCCGTGCACTGCCGCCCCATCTAATCTAATCGTACAGTAGATAGCGACGCGTCCATATCAGGCAAGTAGTACAGAGGTCGCGGGTTCGAGCCCGCAAAAAGGAAAAAATGAAAAAACGGCTAGACGCCGTACCAACTCGTAACATTACCCCCCCCTCAACGGCGCATGACCTCATGCAAGGCGCCCTTGCCCATCTCCCACCCGGAGCAACAGCGTGCTTCAGTCAGCGGCGAAGGCATTGGCTGAAAGTTGAGACCACCAAAGGCAGCAGCGTTGAGGCGGCGAGGGGTGTTCGGGTTCTTCCGGTGGAAGTCGGCTATGAGGGCCGGTGCATTGGCAACATTGCGCGCCGGTTCCCATGACGTATGCGAATCATCATAACCCTTCCACTTGACAAGGTACTGCAGCTGACGCCGGAAGATCCGTGAATCCTTGATCCGCTCAACCTTGTACTCCTCGTTGCCCTCAACCTCAATCGCAGGCGGCTCCTCCGGCTCTCGGCCCGGGATATCGCTACGCGTGTACTTGCTAAGCAAGGAGACATGGAATACCGGGTGCACCGGCACCGACTTCGGTAGGACTAATTCATAATCCAGGTCTCCGAGCTTTCGCCGCACGGCATATAGTCCGAGGCGCTTGGGACTGAGCTTCTTGCTCGGCTGTTTCAGCTTAAGGTTTCGGGCATCAAGCCAGACCTTGTCCCCCGGCGCGAAGACCGGTGCCTCCTGCACGTGCTTGTCATAGTACACTTTCATGCGCTCAGCTGACAGCTCAAGCGCAGAGCGCATGTCATCGCGAATCTCCTTTAGGATCTTGAGCCGATCAGCGGCCGCAGGCATTGCAGACATCGGATTGATCCGCACTTGGATCTCAGGATGGTACCCTTGATGCAGGTAGAAAGGGGAGTGCCCAGTTGCGGAGTGAACTCGGTTGTTCAGTGCGAATTCCGCGAGCGGCAACTGCTTCGCCCAATCATCCTGCCTGTGGCTTGTGAAGGCACGCAGGTACTGCTCAATCTCCTGATTCCAGTGCTCAGTCTGGCCGTCCGTCTGAGGGTGAAATGCTGTAGACAGCGCCGGCTCAATTCCCAGTCCCTTGTACACCGCATGGAGATATTTCAAAGCGAACTGGGGACCTCGGTCTGATATGACCTTGGCCGGGGCCCCCTGATGCTTGAACACATCATGGATGTACAGGTCTGCCGCACCTTCTGCCGTCAGGGTCTCATGACAGGCCAAGAAGTGGACCTGCTTGGTAAAGCGGTCAGCGGTGACCAGGATCGAGTCGAATCCATCAGACTTTGGCAAGCCGACGATCATATCGGTCATGACGATCTGCCACGGGCGCTCGGGGATCTCATTCGGCTTCAGCGGACCCTGGGGCTTAGCGGGGAATGTCTTGGTACAGTTGCACACGTCGCAGGTGCTTACGTACTCGTTGACGAATTTGGACATTCCTGGCCACCAGAAATTCTGCGACACGAGCTCAAGGGTCTTGGCCCGACCGCCATGACCGGCGATCGGTGAGTCGTGGTGGATCTTGACTATATCCCGCCGGAGCTCTGCGTTCTTTGGGACGTACACACACCCGCGGAACAGCAGGAGCCCTTCTTCGGCATTCCACTCCTCAAAGCCCCTTTGAAGCCGGGGCGGCCCGAGGTCCTGCACCTTTTCAAGTGCCTCGGCCACCTCCCGATCCTTCTCCGAACACTCCCGAATGCGCTTCAGAAGCGACTGATCGGCCGTCACCGAGGCATGGCCGCGTCTGGCGGAGGCGATGCGGAAGCGCTCTGGCTTGAGAACCACCTGATCAGTGTTATCGTCCTCATCGCCGATCTGA